GGGGGGGGGCATGGTGGTCTGACTATAATCCCAGCGCTTGGAAGGTGGAGACAGGGGGTCCCTGGACAATCTAGTTAGTCAGAGAAGCCACACTGGCCAGCTCTGGGTTCATCTGAGAGACTGTCTCCATGAATGAAGAGGAAAACAGTCTAAGAGACTCAGGTCTGCACATGCGTGCACACACATTATGGACATGTGCCCAGACATACATGTGAACTCATACACATGCACACACATGTCCACATACAGGCTTACTACACACATGAAGAAAGAAAGGAACATCGAGCACTGCACAGGAATACCCCTTTGAAACAGGAGGGAGGTTTCTGATTTATTTGCTTTTAAAATGCTAATTTTTTCCCTTTCAATAAAAAATAAATTGTAGCAAATTAGTTATTACTAGAGATCATTTGAGTGTTTGATTCCCATTTGATTCCCAGATACAAAGGACATGCAGAAACTGCATTTCATGGTCAAGTCTGATGCCAGTGTGTCCAGCCACAGCAGGACCTAAACAGCTGCCCTCCCCCGTCCCCCCGTCACAGTCCTTGAAGACTGTGGCTTTTATCTGGGAGACAGAAGCAGCTCAGTACCTGTGAGCCTGTGACTTAGGCACAACCTGGCTGAACTGAGGGCGTGCACCTCTGGACTCCTCAGTTAAACACGAGGAAATTGTAGTTGAGAAGGGAGACACACATCAGCTCCGGCCCGTCTCAACTCTTTCCAGCAAGGATGAGAGCCAGGAGCAGAAGCGGGGAACAGAGGCACATTTCTATTTGCATAAAAGCTTCCAGTCTTCTGGGTTCTGTAAAGTGCACTTTTCTCTGATCACAGTCCTAAGAGCACACTCAGATCCACCCAGCCTCAGGCACAGGCAACAGGACAGAGGCCTTGTTGAGGCTCCTTCACTGCAGTGTGGTGGAAAGTGGAAATACAGGGCCTGTTGGTCAAAGATTTCAAGATGGAATGTAGTGCCAAAGCCAAGTTCCGGGCCTTCCTGAGCACCGGGCCATGTGACCCTGGCTGTACAGGTGGCAGAACCACAATGCCAGCCTTAGTTATGAGAGCACCTGCCAGGTGCCCTGGATGCCAGACCAGTGACAGAACATTGTCCAGGAAGGAAAGGGGGCTGGCAACACAAATTTAAAAAAAATGCAAATAAACCTTCAAAATACATAGACACAAAATAAAACCAGCTTTACTGCTCTTTGGTGGAAAGGCCCTGAGATCTGCCCATTCCTTCATTCCAGCTGCCAACCAGGATGTCTACCATGGAATAGGAATGTTAAGAAAGTAGGCACGAAAAGGAATGTGAGCTGGGGGTGCAGCTCAGGGCTACAGCACTTGCTCAGTAGGTTAAAGACCCTGAGTTCAAACACCAGAAGCGCGCGCGCACGCGCACACACACACACACACACACACACACACACACACACAGAAAATCTCCCTTGGGAAAGTCAGTCTGCCCCCAAGATCACCCCTTCTCACAGTCAGCCTAGCCTAGCCGCTAAGTTCCAGGTCAGTAAAAAGCTGTTTCAAAAAGAAATCAAAGTTGGGGCCTGGGAACGGGCCCACGGGAAGTGTGCCTGCCGTGCGTGAGGACGGGGTCCCCAGAGCCCACAGAGATACCAGGGTGTGTGGTGGTCCACCTGTAACTCCAGAGCGTGGGGGTGGAGCCTGGATCCTGCGTCAGGGCGAGGCGTGCGAGCCTAACGCTGCGCTCCGGGCTCAGCTGAGAGAACTCCGCTTCAACGGATAAAGTAGGGAGCAGTAGAGGAAAATGCGTGATGCCAACTTTGAGCTTTCGGCGACAGGCACACAACCCCCCCCACGTGTACCCCACCACACATTTACACATAAACACATACGTGATGAAATAAAAGGTCAATGGACTAAGAAATGACATCCCAGGCTGCCCTGACTATCCCACAAAATGCCACATGTGTGCACTGAGCACACATGGACACTCATGTACACGCCCCAAAGCACCACTTTGCCTCATGTGAAGCTGTGGGGCTTGGACTGCACTGGCATTGCCCTCTATATGCCAAAGACCTGAAGGTGGCATTGCAAGGAAAAGTGCCCCAGCATGGTCTAGAAATCTAATGACCTACATTCTTTCACACACACACACACACACACACACACACACACACACACGTATGCATACACACATACATGCATGCATATATACACACATACGTACACACACATATATACACGCATACATACACACATATGCATGCATACACAGACACACACACACACACACGTGCACACACACAAAAGTGCTTATCCTCTTTACGACACACGAGGACCACAGCTGTAAATATAGGCATCCATTTCTGTGTGTTTGAGAGACAACTTGTTCCCACACAGGAACCACCTCCAATGCTGAAGGAAGGCTGTGCAAGCCCACGCAGAGAGTAAGTGTGTCAAAGCCCTGTTGCTGGCTGCTGAGCAGTGGGGCCTACAGACAAGGCCAGGTCCCTGCAGTAGCTAGCAGAGGCGGGCAGCGGGGTGTGCTTTTAAGAAGAGGGCACAGGCGCAGCAGCACCCTAACATAGTGGCCCTGGATGCCCCCACAGCCCCATCACACCAACACATGCACAGTGCCTGGAGATGCTTGCTGGCGAGAGAATGGCCGGGCTGGCACTCATTACACTATGAAAATTGTGCAGCGCACTGACCACTGACAGAGGGGACAGTCCCATCCCAGCACGCCAGCTGCACAGCATCCTCTGCACTAGGCCAGCACCTACTCATCAAATGTGTGTGAGCAAATGCAACACACTCACATCCCAGCACAAGGAAAACATCTGACAATCAGTTCTGCATTTCAGAAAGCAGGCATGCACTGTGAGTCTCAGATTCACTCTTCAAAGATTGTTTATCCCTGGCTTAGTGTTCGTGTGTGTGTGTGTGTGTGTGTGTGTGTGTGTGTGTGTGTGTGTGTGTCCCACAGCTCTTCAGCTGCCTCTTGCCATCATGAAAGAACTTCTCCACCCCACTTACAAACCATCCTTTAAAGCCATGTGCTTACTGTGGCTGGGAAAACACTCTGCAGAAACCCTTCCTTTGATTCCAGAAGATACGGGGGGCGGGGGGATGTAACGATGTAAGGAGCCCCAGGACTCAGGAGAGCCTGGCCAAGCCAGCAGCTGGGAAGGCACTGTGGTCCCAGCAGGAGGCCCGTCCGCCCAAGAAGTGCTAACACTCCCAAGGCCCACGGGGCACATGGTCCAGTTAGGGCACATGGACCAGTTGGGGTGAGGCTCAACATTCCCTTCTTAACCCCTCTAACTGCAGTGGCTTCGTGACTGTCCCCATCGGTCTTGGAGAGGCCTAGCTGCTGCCAGCCTGTTCATTCGCATGGCTGGGATCAAGCCAATTATTTCTATCCTTTGGTTTTATTATACCATGTTTTCTGCTTTCATCATATTGTGTATATGTGTGTGTGTGTGTGTGTGTGTGTGTGTGTGTGTGTGTGTGTAGGACTGAGGCTGATGTTGGGTAGCTTTCCTCAGTGGCTCTCCACCTTGTGCTACAGACAGGTTCTCTCCCTGTACCTGGGGCTCACTACTCCAGCCAGGCTGGCTGACCAGAAACCCCAGTGCCTCTCCTGTCTGTCTATCCTCTCCTATCTGTCTGTCCTCTCCTGTCTGTCTGTCCTCTCCTGTCTGTCTATCCTATCCCGTCTGTCTACCCTCTCCTGTCTGTCTGCCCTCTGCTGTCTGTCCTCCCCTGCCTGCCCTCTCTGGCACTAAGATTCACTGCTGCCAACTGGCCACTGTGGGACCTGAGCAATCTTGGAGCCCTCCCTTTGACACCTTTCCATGCTCTTACTCAGTTGTCACCTTACCCTGGGGTCTAGTCTGGGTTTTTTTTTTTTCCTCCAACATCACCAGTCCCTTATCAGGCTCCCCCATGGTGGAGAGATTTGCTCCTCAACCGTCATCTCCTATGAGTGAGAGGAGAAAATCTCAGTTTAGCCATACTTTCCCGTTATCTACCTCAAAACTGGCTGCTGATGCCCAGATCACCTGTATCTGCCCATCCCTTTCCCCAGCGCTGGAGCCAAAGGCTCATGCTGCCACTCGCAGCTGTCACACAGGTTCCGGGGTGCCAACTCAGGTCCCTGTGTTTGGGCGGCAGGCACCTCACACACAGGGTCCTTCACAGAAACGGAGGGGGAGGAGGGAGGAAGAGGCTAATAGAAACATAAAACCTTCAACTGAGTCATCATTTGGGGAATTTACAGTCCTGAAACCCACACAGTGAGAAATAATGGCACACATGCTGCGGCCCTCTAAGCCCGTCGGAGCCACTCCCAATGCCCAGATCTGAGCAGCAGGGTTAGAAGGCGCTCCTCCGCTCCCACCTCCTCCAGAAAGGACAGCTGGATGAGCGCCTGCAAGGCATCTCTTGCCACCATGTCCAGCATACTGACACCAACAAAATGTTCTTGTTTTGCTCAGTGAATCCTAAGCCATGTGAACTTCACAAGCATTTGCAAGTCCTTCAAGGACACAAGACAGCCTGGCAAGCCCCAAGTCTCCCCTATGCTGCTGACTTCCTGTTCCTGCTATGGAACCCACATAATCACCTCTCGACATTTTCCTCCTTCCATCTTTAGAACCACCTTAGTCCTCAAGCGCAGTGTCCAGTGGGGTTTAGGGTGGGCGGGAGGGAGGTAGACAAGCCAGAATTAGGTGGTTAGCTTCTACTAAATTCTAGCATCCCCATTTGACTTAACCATCCCCAACCTTCTTTGCTGCTAGACACAAACTCTACCTGTCTTACCGGGGCTACGGAGAATGCCTGGCATTAGCTGCATGGACTAAACCAAAATTCTTCATCCCCCTGGCAACAGCAAGACAGCCTCGAGCCACGCCTCCCTCCCTGCCTCCACACACCACTAACTCAGCCGGCACCTCCACTCCACCCGCAGCCTTCGCTTATCCACACCCTTACGGGGAACTCAGGGGAAGTCCACCTACCTCGTGGCCTCCTGCTGAAGCCAGGACACATTTGGCACATAGAACATGACTCCGAAGAAAAGCAGAGGCTCGTTAGCAAATTTGTCCAGATGTTTCTTCAGCGGCTTCTCCAGCTCCACCCATCTCGCCTGCTGACTCTTGCTGAGAAACCAAAGGCCGAAGTAGTGCGTCTAGATAAAAGGGTGAAATCCCGTCAGTCTGGGCTTCCCACACAGTCTACGACCACACAGAAGGCAAGCCTCCTGCAGCTGTGTCGGCAGAGACCTGCGATCCAGGGCCTACTTGCGAAGACCCAGCTTTTCCCTTCCCAGCTTGAGACAAACTAAAGAAATCAGATCCACATGACACTGACGCCTCCATGAGCTCCCAGAAGCAGCCCTCCCAGCATCTGCTGTCTGTGCCCGGGACCTCTAACCCTGAGTTAGGTGAGGAAATGGGACGGACTAAGGGCAGGGCTGGTGAGCCCCACGCAGCCTCCTGTCTCTGCCTCCCCAGAGCCGGGATTACAAGCGTGCCCCAGCACACCTGGCTTTTTAATGTGGGTCCCGGGGGATTGAACTCAGGTCCTCGTGCTGAGCAGTCTCTCCAGCCCCAGGGCTCACATCTTTCCTAAGTTCAGAAGGACAACTCCCTGTGTGATTTCACACACAGCATCGACCAGACAGTAAATTCTTAATTCTGAAGACAAACCCTGCCAGCTGAATGCTTTGGCAATGCAGAAACTTTTCACAATCTATCAGATTTTAACCAAATAGCCATGTGCTCTGTTTGGACTTTAATGAGTACTTTAAAAGCAGCACTCTTTTATTACACACGAACTGTGATTAATTTCTCCCCATGCCAAGTTTTGAGACTGGAAGGCTCTCCTCTCCACAGCTGCCCCCAAAGCCGCTGGTGGCTCTTGGCAGATTACTTCGGCATTTGGTAGATGAAAGTGTGATTATCACCCTCAAACTTGAAGCCTCAACCAGTGCGGCTATAAATAGTAATGCTGAAACAGGTACCTTCACGCATCCAATCCGGTCTTTATATGAACATGTGCTAGGATTTCAGGATTAGTGCAAAAACGATAGACCGCTGCTTCTGAGGGCCCTTTGTGCTCCGATTACAGCTCGGCTGGTTTACAGCTCACCTGGAGCTCTGCCTTCAGAAGAATGTTTTCATTACCAAGCTCATTTCCAAAGGCATTCTCTCTCAGTCCTCATGGCATCTGGCCGCCCCCCAGCTCACCACAGAGCAACCCCTACAAAATCCCCCGGTGAGCCCTCAAGCCACTCTCCCAGCACAGCAGGTGTGCCCTGGCCTGTGGGCGCTGGAGCATCGCAGGCCAAGCAGGGATGTTTTGCTCCGGCAGAGAAATGGCTGCATCCTCCACGGTATCCAAGCAGTTAGTCTACACCCTCTCAAGCCACAAAAGGCTGGAGCCGTGCTCGGTGACGGTGATGGTTCCGTCCACTCAGATGGAGCTGACTGAGTCTGTCCTCAGCCGGCTGTGTATGTCCGGCTCCCAGGAGCCCCTCTGTTTCCAGCAAGAGAGAGGGTGCAGCAGAGTTGCACGGGGCCTCTGCTCGGCAGCTCCCCGGCTCCAGGCAGAGTTCCTCTCTCAGGGGCTAGAGGTACAAAGGAAGGTTGGCTCCTTGGGCTTCGCCTTTAAGATGGGATGGCCGCCATTCTCATCCACAGGCTTCAAGGAACACTGACCACATCCACGGCCCAGAGCAAGCAGGTCACGTGACTCCTTTTCCCGCCTCCTTTTAGCACCAATATTGTCATGATTTAGAACGGGAAGCCTACCTCCCAGAGGCTCATGTGCCTCATGGGTAGGTTCCCAGGGCCTGGTGGGGATGTGCCTGGAAGAAGACCACAGATCCTTTGTCTCCCTCTTGCCTTCTGGCCACCCCGTGCTGGTTTTGCTGCTGTGCACACTTCCAGCAGGATATGCTGCCTTGTCCCAAGCACAAAGCAAAGGGGCCAACAAACGACAGACAGACAGAAACCACACTCTGAAATCAGCCTTTCCTCCTCCTCAGTTCATCACCTCAGTGACCACAGACAGTGACAGAAAGCTGGTGACAATTCTATGAATCACGGAATTAGAAAATGCTGCCAGGTACAGGGCGAGGACTAGAGGGGTCGCTCCACTGGCAAAGTGCTTGCTGAGCAAACACAAGGGCCTTTATTTGGATCCCTAGCATGCACGTAAAAATGCCCCAGCACCCAGGCACAGCACCATACATGTGTAATCCTCATGCTGGACTAGCCTAAATAAACTGAGGAGCTACAGTTAGTGAGTACTGGGCTAGCCTAGACAAACCAGTGAGCTCCAGTTAGTGAGAGATTCTTTCTCAAAAAAATAGATAAATAATAAAGTAGGGAGCAGCTGAAGAAAAGACATGACATCAACCTCTGGGCCACACACACATGCACACACTAAGCACATGCATTCATGATAAACACACACAGAGACAGAGAAAACAGCAGCTCACACCTGTCTATAATCCTGGCACTTGGGAGGTGAGGAAGGAGGATCATGACTCTGAGGTGAAGCTAGGCGAAAAGCAATACCCCACCTCACAACCACAACAACAGAACAAGGTGTGATTGTGTGTGAGACTGCAAGCTGAGCCCTGGGAGGTGGGAGCAGGAGGATCAGTTCACGGTAATCCTCAGCTACATAAGGGGTTTGAGGCCAGCCTGGGCTACAAGAAGAAAACAAGCAACAACAACAAAACCACACTCAGAAAGAAACAAGAAAGGGAAAGGGAAGCTGGCCAGCATCACAACATGAGAAAACAGCTAACGGAGGCCGGATTAAGGACAGATAATAGGAAGGCCTTAAAAAGACAAGAAAAATAACAGAAGAGCAGGAGGAGGTCCTGCAACCTTCTGAAAGTCTTTTGGGGACACCTGCCACACTGGAACGGCTGGCAGTGTTCCCAGGAGCCAGGGATGTGAGATCCATGTCCGCCACACCCCCACTCCCCCGCCCTAGGCTTCATTCAGCACCGCCTGGAAATTGAAGCAGCCCCTGCACTGAGGAAGCGTCATCCAAGGGTCCCTCGATGTACTTTGTACTTTATTTACAAATAAAAACTGAGGTAACACACTAAAGCCATGACATGCTGTGATTTCTAGAGCTGGAAGACAGCGCTTTCAGCCGGTGCAGGCCTCTAATCCCAGCACCTGTCGGGGCAGAGGCAGGTGGATCTCCGTGAGTTTGAGGCCAGCCTGGTCTACAGGGTCCAGAAAGCTTGGGCGGAAGCAGCTCGCAGTAAGGACTGTTGAGCAAACTAACCTCTCCTTCCACTAGAGGCAGTGTCGACGTGTGCCATTTTATGCTCTGTGTTCATCCTAACGAAAATATTCATTCAAAGTGTTACTATCCAAATTATGAAGGAACAGCAATAACCACACAAAGAACTCAAGAACTGATGTCGGGAGGAATTTTTTTTAATTTTTAAAAGATGTATCGATGAATTTGTGTTTAGTCGTTTTGCATGTATATATGTCTATGCATGCTATGCCTGGTGCCCAGAGAGGCCAGAAGAGGACTTCAGAGCCTCTGGAACCCAAGTCACAAATGTCTGTGAGCCACCATGTAGGTGCTTGGGATCAGTCCCAGGTTTTCTGCAAAAACAGCTGGTCGTTAAAAATATCTCTAGCCTGAAATTACAATTTGTATTCTCTTACACCTTGTAGGGCATTCTTCTAATTTTCTTTCTTTTTCATCCTCATCCGCTGAGATTCCTACACCAGGAAACACACAACACACACACGGGAGAGGGGAGAACAATGAGGTCCGACACTCAAAGCACTCATCTTGAGTGACAGTAAATAGTAGAGAGTTCTAAATAAGCAAATTGCCTCTAATGGAAACGGGGTTCTCGGGTGAGCATTGGTTGCTGCTGCGGAGGCTGCTGAAATGGTCTTTTCCAGATGGCGCAAAGCAGTTCCCAGTGATTCCCTACACACTACCAGTGAGACAGCTTTAAAACTACTCAAGAAATGGGGCCCTACAACAAAGAGGCAAGTGAAATGTACAGGCATTTATGATCGAACAAAGCTTGGACAGTCTACAAATCAAAGCTCACCACCCTCTGGCTGCCACAGAAGCAAATCAGAATTACGGGGGGGAGGGGCTCCCCATCATCCCCCCTGAAAGGACTATCATGAAAACACATGCTGGCCAGGGTGGGGGGCCACAGACACTGATGGTGGCGATGTCCCAGCGGAGCCTCTGTGGAAGTCAGTATCAAGGGTCCTCAAAGCAGGGGCGCTGGGACCACCACATGACCCCAGACACAGCCAAAGGAATTTGGGCCAGCACTCCACAGATTCTGATGATGCACACGTCACTACAGTCTCGTCACAGGAGCAGTCTGAGTGCCAATCAAACTGACCAAGGGGTCAAGATTTGTGCATATATAAACCATGGAGTTTAACTGAGTCATAAAGAATGTATTTTTTCAGAAAAGTGATGGAATTGGAGAGCATATTTAACAAGATAAACCAGACCCAGAAAGACAAATGTCACTTGTGTGTTTGCATGTACATAAAGATGTAAGCATATATATGTGTGTACATATATATGTTTATACATACATACATGTGCTCACACACTTATATACATATACGTGCACATATGTGTATATCATATATGCAACCTGCACACACAAAGACACACGGAGCTGCGGCTGGAGTCAATTGGTGGAGGCCCTAGGACCAGTCCCCCCACCATGACAAGCTGGGTGTGGTGACTCACAGGCGTAATCCCAGCATTCCCACTGGGCAGGTGGAAGGACAGATACCAGGGAACAGGAGGCAATGAGGGAGAATAAACACAGTTGAAGTAACACCACACCTGACAGTGTCACCATGAAGCCTATCACCTTGAACAAGTACATGGTAATAAAACTTTTAAAGGTTTGGGGGCTGGAGAGATTGCTCAGTGGTTAGGGATACTGACTGCTCTTCCAGAGGACCTAGGTTCAAATCCCAGCACCCACATGGCAGCTCAGAACTGTCTGTAACTCCAAAATCTGACACCCTCACACAGACATGCAGGCAAAACACCAATGCACATAAGATAAGGGTAAATAAATTACAAAAAAAAAAAAAGTAAATGTTTGGAAAGATGGGAGTCCCCCGTAGAGAAAAAACCATCTTGGAG